AGCCTTTCCTGAGCAGTACCTGTGCCCCATATAAAAATGTGGGTGGTTTTTTCCCCTCTGTAGGAGCCATTTGTCTCATTGTTTCAGTGCAATTTCCCGTTCTAAAGTTTGTGCCAGAGTCACACTTCTTGGTACTGAGGCTCCCATTTTTACTGTGCTGCAGCCAGGCCAAGTGGCTCCATTATTACTGCTTCTGAGGCAGTTCTTGCRCATTACTTAACGCTAAGTCAAGTCTGTGTACTGAGTACGAGCTGTTCCAAGAGGCAGAAACTGCTTCTTTGAACTGCCTSGTATTGTGCTATCTGACCATTTTATTCACAGGTAATTTAAGTCCCCATTATCATTTGGTTCGACTTTCCCAATTCTTTGATCTCTGTCAACATTATGCACTCAACATCCTTTTGTTGATCCAGGAGCTGGGAGTATAGAAGACTCCGAAAGTATTTACTTTGGTATGGGCTGGGAGTGTAACCCTGTGTGAGCACTGAGGGAGGTGACTCCAATCCTGGCTGCGTGTGCCTTGCAACACCAGCAACACTCTCCACCGGCCAGGGTGATCCCACAAGGTTCACAGCAGCAATTCCAAGGGTTCTGAACACCACACTCCTCCTCTGACTGGATCTGTGATTGATTCTGTCCTTCTGAATTGTACACACCACCTAAGAAAAAGGTGATTCAGGCTCCTCCTCCAGTTCTCATTCAAGCCATCCTAAATAGATAAACTTGAATGTTTTTTAAATAACTACTTTTTCTGGGGCGAGAGAAGGAAGGAGGAAAATCCATGGTTTGGGGGTTCAGAGCCTTCAGGGAGTTTGTTCTGTCTTTTAAAGTTCAATTTTGTTTCTCTCAAGGTGTTTTCCTGCAGTCATAAGTTAAAACAAAACACTCTCTGGGTTAGTGAGAGCTGATTTTCYCCTACAATCCACTCATTATGAAATTGCTGAGTTTGTACGGACATAGAACAAAGTATTGTAAGACTTGCAGTGAAATAATGGATGTTGGGAAAACTAGTTCTACACACTGCMTGCTCAGTGAGACTGCCAATGTCCCACATATCCACTGGAATTCTCTGTGTGTCAGCATGTAAAGGGATTGGGGATTGCTGATCATTGTGCCCTCCCTTGTAGCAATGTGAGGTTATCCATCTCTTTTTAAATATCACWATTAGGGACTTCTCCCAAATTTTCAGCACTTTTTCCCAAATACTGGCCCTAGAACTAGAGACAGTACCAACCCCTGCCACTCTGCACAGACTAAAGGAATCATCTTTCCCCTGCGCAGAAGACTGTGCTTATACACACTCAAAGAGATATTAATGCTCAGTTTTAATAATGCATCCGTGAATCTTGATCATCCTTGAACTGCCCTAAACAAGACTGTAAGTGATGAACTGTTTCTCAAATAAACTTTTTTTTCTTCCACAATTAGATTCGCACGTGAATTCTGTCATAATTCAAATTAGAAAAATCTTAAATCTCATTTTCTCAACTCTCACCAGTGGCTCTCCCCTTTTCTTTCCAAGACATTCCTTATTTTCCTATCTACTTTCAAACCCACATCAACTCTGTCCAGTACTAAATGGAGACTGAGGAATGGACAAGAAAGAAACTGAGATTTATTCCTCAAAGGTCAGCCAACAGAGCAGCAGAAGTATCAAAAAAAGAGACTGAAAAGTCTCTAGAGCAATCCTGTGAAAGGGAATTCATCTGCAAACAGCCACAGGAACTGCAGTCCCAAGGGCATGTTGAATCCTGAGCWGCTCATGGATTGTCCATGGTCAGTAAGTTCCAAGCGTGTTCCTCCACCTGTCATAAAGGGCCAGGTTTTGACTCCCATGGGACTTCTAACAGCAGTTCAGCCTCCTGCAGTGGCCCAACAGAGATCATGGAATCCCAAAATGGTTTGGGTTGGAAAGGACCTTAAAACTCACCCACTTCAMCCCGTRCCATGGGCAGGGACAYCTYCCACTGTCCCAGGCTGCTSCAAGCCCYRATGTCCAGCCTGGCCTTGGACACTGCCAGSGATCCAGGGKCAGCCACAGCTGCTCTGGGCACCCTGTGCCAGGGCCTCCCCACCCTCACAGGGAACAATTCCTTCCCAATATAAACTTCCAAATCAAAACTTCCAATCTGGAAACTGCCAGTGAGTTTCCTGGGCTGCTTTCCGCGTCCAGCAAGAGTTAATGCTCAAAGCAAGCGCTCCCTGAACAAGCTCGAGCACTGCACAAGCCTGGAGATGATTTCTGCAAGAAGTTTGAGGTGTTGGTTTTTTGACCTATAAAGGCTTAAGTGGCTCTGCCTGCTTGAGAAATTCCTCTCCCTTTGCATCACACAGCAGCAGCTCTGGAGTGCCAGAGGAAACACTGCCGGGGTTACACTGGCAGGGGCAGGCAGCTCCCTGGCATCTTCCTGCTYACCTACTGGGCAACAATGGAAATCCAGAGATTTCCCATACAACCGGTCACAGGGGCAAAGGCTGTGAAGGGGAATTCTACTCTGAAGCTATTTTATTGCAGGTAAAGAGGATATTGCTAAAGTTAGTTTCTAAGATGTAACATGCCACAATCAAAGTCCATTTCTGTCAATGATCTTGGAAAATAGGGCAGGGAGAAATGAAACCAGGAAAATATTCTGCTAGAAGTGCCTTTGGTGAGGCTCCACCACTTACGTGCAAGATTTTCTGCATTAAATTAAAAATGTATTTCTAAAAACACATTGACCAGAGTACTATGAAGATAATTACAAGTTAAAGAGAACCTGACTTGACTACACAGCCAACTCAGCACCACTGATCCTTGAGCAATCCTATTCCACCTCTGAAGGAAGAGAGCCTTGCTTTGGAAACAGGACTGGGCCATCCATGCCTCTTGCAGCTTGTGTTCTACAGGATGGGCTGACTGCACCTTATAGGGTCTGACACAACCAAGAGCTACCCAAAAATACTGTAAAAACCCCACTTCTTGACTCATTTACTGTAAACGTGACCATTTTATGTCCCTAAGCCACATTTGAAGAAGCGGTTGTGCAGGTATGTGTGCTCAGCCGTACGTTTATTTAAGTAGGAGTTCCAGTGACATTGAAGTTAAGCACGTGACCTRAAGTTTTTGCAAGATTGGGATGTTGACAACCACGCGCAGAATGAGATGTCCCAATAACGCCTAAGTCTGGTGTATTTAATATCCCAGTATCTAAAAGCAAACCGAAAAGAATTCCTCCCCATGATTTCTTACTTATTTTGTACCTGAAGAGTTACTTCCCCATTTCCTGTTTTCTCTGTCCAGAGGTAGGAACCCACTGAATGATTGGGACCCAAACAATTYTAAACGTCATTTTTCACTCCAAGTTTCAGTATTTAGCAGCAGAATTAGAAACTACACCATGAGATCTGCAGGAGAGGTCACAGGTACACTTGGCTAAGCCTTCCCAGAGCACAGTGCCTGGCACCAGGCAAACATCCTGCTGCAGAAGGCACAGCCTGACCCCCTGTCCCAGCGCTGCCAGCTGAAACCAGGACTTCCTGCACTGGATTCAGCGGGATATGGAACAGGAGCGCTCACCTGAGCACACAGAGTGGCCGAGTCAAGGCCTRAAAACACACCCAGGACAGGTCACTGTCTGTGCCCGAACTCCACAGGCTGGATTAGTGTTTCCCCAGCCTCATCCATAAGGAGGATGATTTTTAAAGGATTAAATTGGACACTATTCACAACTTTTCATTCCAAACACAACACTGGTGCTGCTGTGATGGCACAAAATTCCCACTTGGTATTACTGCATTTGGTTAGAAAGCTCCACAGCCCCTCAGCAGAGGCTATCATCCTCYCATTTCCAAAAGGTCCCTCTCTATACTTTGTGCTCGGTTGCAACATCACTGTAGTTTTTGTAAGGAATAAATATTGACTTTCCTGGACATTGCCTCACGACAGAAACGGACCTTGAGTACATTTGTCTCAGATATTTTTTTTTGCTTGGTAATATAATTTTATAGCAGAGCTTTTGTTCTGAGGAGTTCAAAAGGCATGGAAAAGCAGGCTTTATACACACACAAACTGTCCATGGACACTTGCAGACAGGTGACCATGTTCTAAAAGCTGGCTCAGCCATACTTCTCTTCTTAGAAAACTACACAAAATGTATCACTTAAATTTAAATTTCCAAACTACAAATTTAATTAATATTTCAACATTTGGAAAGTCYAGACTGGAAAAAGCCAAGAGAAAATGAAGATTTAACATTAATGCAGGCTATTCTGTCACATTTTTTCTCAAGAATAGCACAAATGATTGTCAGGCGGATTACCCTCAGAACGGAGAGAGGGCACACCAGGTCTCAGGACACTGAGCTCCAAACCCAGTGTGTGCAGGAGATGGGTTTGTTCAGAGAATGGCTCAGCTCTGGCTGTGCAGCACCTGCACCTCCTGCCCAGATGTGGAGACACTCTCTCCTTAATAAAGGTCAGAGAGCAGCACTAATTAATCTATAAAAATACCTGATGGTGACAGCACTGGAGATCCTGCGTGGGTAACATTCACCCTTCAGGTACAGGCCCACACAAGCGGTGTGGGCACAGCCAGGACGGGTTTTGGAGCCAAAACACAACTCTAACTTCAGCAGAGGTTGTGGAAAACCTCATGGATTTCAAAGAAAAACGTACTAAACCTGTTTTCTGTCAGATATTTCACATCCCGACATGTGACTCGACACACTCAGCTTTATACCATCAATTAAGATATGAAATAACCTCCACGGAATCAGCCGACCACATCCACAGTTCAGCAGTAATAAGGTGCAGCCACAGCTCGGCCCCGAAGGAAGGATCGGCCCTTCGCACGATGCCGGCCCCTCGGCCCCCGTGAGCCGAACGCATGGGGACAGCRCACGGAGCACGGCACAAATCCACGCCGGGACCCAGAAGCCGAGGCACGGCCCGGGGAGCCGAGGAGGCCGTGAGGGAACAGCGGGGACGGGCCGGGAGCGGTGGCGAGGCACCGCTGCTCTTACCTGGAGCAGCTTCCCTTCGGCCGGAGTCACCTCGGCAACGTTGGCGAACTCCCCTTCCAGGATAATGGGCTCCACTTTGAGGGGGATGACCCTGATGATGGCTTTCTGCGCCGCCGCCCGCTCCGACTCCACGGCCGCCGCCAGCGCCAGCCCGGTCTGGCCCAGTCCTGCCTGCAGGGTCGCCATGAGCAGCCAAGGCCAGAGGACAGCCAGCTGCACCTGGGGGCCAGCACTCATGCTACCAGCAGCGGGCTCCGGCCGCTCATACCGCTCGGCAACGCGTCCTCACCGCGGCGGGCCCCGGCCGGCGGCAAAGCTCCCGGGGCTCCGAGCCGCGCTCCCGGACAGACCCCAGAGGCCGCACACAGGGGCTCGCTCACCGCCAGCGCGGCTCACCGGGCGACGCCGGCTCTCGCCATCACCGCTCCTCTCGTCCCGTGCCACGTGCTCAGAGGCCGCCGGGAGCTCAGAGGCATATTTTAAACAAACAAACTAGGGGGAAAAAAAAAATCCTAAATTGTGAGTCCCTCCTCCGGCAGATAAATCCAGAAGGATCAGCGAAACAGGATGCAAGCAAGAAGTCAGTTTGGGTGMACGGGGAGCATTAGGAACTCCTCGCTCGCACAGAGATGAGGTGCGGGGAGATCTCCCCGAGGATGTGGAGGCCTCCTGTCTCCTGGCCGAGAGTKAGGAAGATCCACAGGTTCAAAACATCCATCCCAAATATCCTCAAGAGACACCTCACCTTCTTGCCAGCATTTCCCACAGCACAAGCACAACCTTGAATGTTATCTGCACCGATTGGTATCCTTCCCAGAAATTAGGCAGGCGGTATTCCTTGAATTTATAGTGACAAGAAAGCTTGCTCCGGTACCGTTCCCTTCCAAATGGAGTTGATCCCTTCCATCTTCCTCATGCCAGAAGTGCTTCATTCAACTTTGGAGATCGGCTTTACCTTTCCCTTAGAAATCCATGCTCAGAGGCTGGCTCCGGGTAGAGTTCTCAAAGATAATTAACAAAACACACAGCTCCTCTTCATTGTTGCAAGTTCCCCGCAAATAAAAAGGCCCCCAAACACTTCCAAAGTTTAGACACGAAGCCCAACAGGTATCAGGCAGAAAGTTGCGGCGTATCTGGTTTCTCTCGCACTATTTCTGTTCGCGCCCGAGTTCCGGTATGACCACTTCCAAGCACACGTTAAGAAGATCCCGACTCAAGGCCCCACAAAATAAAATAGAAAGTTCCATGGTCTGCCCAAAGGTCACATGAAACGTATMGAGGAGTCTTCATTACTAGGAGAATTTAGACAGAAAGTGTTTTCGATTAAAACTGAAGTTACGGTGATCGCACGGCTCTGGAGAGAAAAAGGGATTTACAAGAGAAAAAAAGCTTTGCAAACCTGTTAGGCAGTGAGCCTGCTGGAGTCCGGAGGGGCCGGGCCGGGAGGGAATGCTGCTGTAAATCCCAGGCAAAAGTTATTTCCAGTAGCTTAACAAAACCATGTGGCTCTGATGATGTTTGGGTTCGGTCTTTAAAAAAAAAAAAAGTAAAAGCTGGTATTTCGAACAAAAAAGAAGTATTAAAAATTACAGGAAAACTCTTTCGCACACACGCAGCAGGCAGGTAGGTGCAAGCGGAGCTCCACAGCCCGAAAGAGGATCCAGGGAGATCAAAGGGAGAAAATTACAGCAGACAGAGAGCTCCCGGGGCAGGCATGGCTGAAAGTGAAGTGTCCGCATGTAATCGCCCGACCTGCGCCAGCACCCCGGCGCGCTCCGGGAAAGCTTCCAAAGCCCGGCGTCCCCGCAGCGGAGGCGGGCACCGGCCGTGCCGGCAGCGAGCGCGGACGGGAAGGAGAGCTGGGACATGGGCAGCGAGCCGGCGGCGGA